CTGAAAATATTAATACTTTCATATTTTTGCTAAAATACATACCAACTACGGTTCTCGTCCTCGCAATATACGTGGACTTCGGTCTTAATCTAGTTTTTGACGGAATTGTATCACAATTTCAAAGCAGAAGTTTTCCACTCTTTAAAAATAAATCTAGGTAACAGCACACCTAATGGTCACAGTGTAAGGCTTCTGATAGTAAGCATCAGAGCTGTTTAACAGAAACGCCGCCGGTACAGTATGTGTCTTGAGCAATATGCTGTCAACGTGCATGACGCCTATAACCTCTAATCAATAAAAAAAAGGGTTTTTCTGTGGTACTCATTCTAATAACAAGAGAAGTAGGTCACGTGGACTTTCTGAAGAGGGGCTTGCAGACGAGTAGCTGGGGTGGGGTTGAGAGAAGATGGGGAAAAGAGGGGAGGGGTACTTCACCACTAACACTACCCATCATCCATACTTCGGCATCCCTGTGAAAGGTTTCTTCTGCAGCGATCTTTAACCCTCGTTTGGCTCTGTCTTGAAGGATTCTACCTTGAGTCTTAAGTGTTCGTCCCGGTCGCTTACGTTGCTACAATTGCTGTTGGTGTCGGACAAGTCGACACCGCATCCCCTGTCGTTCATGGCATCGCCACTTCCGCCACAGTCGGGAACGGAAGCTGAGGCGCCGGCTCCGGCGCCCTCGGAGCTACTTCCGGTGGCAGCGGTGGCCACTTTCGGCCTCTTGGGGGCGTTACAGGTGCGGAGGCAGCAGCACGAGGACAGCTTGGCGTCGTGCGGCCCACCGTGGTTATGCCCCTCCGCGCCCACGCCCTCCTCCTCCTTCTTGCGCTTCACCCTCCGGTTCTGGAACCAGATCTTGACCTGGTTCTCGCTGAGGCGGAGCGCCGTCGCAATCTGGATGCGCTGCATCCTGGTCAGGTACATGGTGGTGGCGAACTGCCGCTCCAGCTCCAGGAGCTGCGTGCTCGTGAAGGCCGTGCGCTTCCGCTTGCTGGAGGCCTCCAGGGAGGAACCGCGCGCGTCATCTGCAGACAAGGACAGGCAGGGCATCACACACATGTCGGGAGAGAGGGGGGTGGGGGGTGGGGGCAGACAGAGAGAGGGATTTAGATTTAGTTTATTCAGGTCCGTAAAGGGGCTAAACAGCCCCGCCACAATGGACCCCGCTTTCGAGCAGGATGGTGAAGTTATAGTAGTAGTACTACAGTACA